CACAGTACCTGCGTGATTCGTCACAGACATAAACAAAGAGAAGTAGCTCCGGCTACAATGTTCTTCCACAAGATGCACACAGTTCTGTTTACTAACCGCTAAAGCGCAAAAAGTTACGAACTGCAGCTTTAAAGGGACAGTTCACCTAAAAATGAAAATTATGAAAATTATTCTCACCCTCATGGTGTTCCAAACCTCTACAACTTTCAACAGACATGAAGTTATTCTCTCATGCTTTTTGTCCCTCCGTGGAAATAAATTAAATCTGTTCATCATATAAAGCAATTATTTATTTTTAGAAGATATGGATTACTTTTACAATGTCTTTATGAACTTTTTGAGGCATCAAAGTTTTTGGTGGTATAGACTTTTAATGGAGGGATAGAAATCACTCAGATTTTATTAAAAACATCTTAATTTGTGTTTCGAAAGATGAACTAAAGTCATACAGGTTTGGAATGACATATGGTGAGAAAATGATGACAATTTTCATTTTTAGGTGAAATAATGGCAGATAAAAATGCTTAGCACCTCATTCCATTCCATAAGAATGATGTCCAATTACTTCATGAGCATATTTTACTGAAAATCACATGGTTCACAGAAATCACCTGCTTATGCCTATGGGATGCTGTGTAAACTAAAGCTTGCCTGCGTGTGAACAGTAATAAAGGTCAATTTGGAGGTATTCAGTGTTATTGGTTTCTGCAGTTTTTCATACCCTACTTCAGATGAGAGCTGCTGTTTAAATGTGATCTTTTGCCCTTTTGTGATTTTACCTGCTTAGCAACAGCAAACTGAAGGTCAGTGTTTACCACAGTGTGGATCAAATCACAACTGCATCAATGCATAGATAAACATTCAAGTAACCATTTCCTTTACTATATTAATAAATAAGGTTTACAGGTTTTTATCAAATTTAAGGATCAAGCATAAATCAAAGTCTGACTGATTGGCGCTTTGAATTAGATTACTGACGATACTGGAGAGTTATCCATCAACACAATCCCTGGTGCCGGCCATCCCGAGTAACTGAAACACATCTGATACGGTCCTTCTGCAGCAAAGTTTCCAAATGTGCAGCCAATCCCACTTGAAAAATCACAAAAAAAAAAAAAACAGTCACCCTTGTCTTGTTTTCTTCGATGGCAAAAGCAAATGGATTTCTGCCAAAATGTAAATTTTAAACTGTGGAGAGATCAGAATTTTGACCGCAGCAAAAACAAAATGGCTGTAGTCAAAAGAAAAAAAAATGAAACGGCCCTCCTCCCCGTGTAGCTTGCTGCCAAAAGGTGTTCTTGTTCTGATATTTGGTTTGGAACGGCTGCCAAAAATTAGATATGTCCTTGGATATCTCCCTCTTTCCTTTGTCTCCTGTCAGGACTTGGCTGTCCTCCAGTGCAACTAGCCATAGCCAGGAACAGAGGGAGCTCCATTCTCACACATAAACATCACTTTGGATTTATCCTTTGCTCAAATACTGTGGTTCTTTTGTGTAATCGTATACTCTGCATATGGATACAATAGGTTTTCTGGAATCTTTTTGTGGGCAAGCGCTCCATAAGTATATGTGTTTGTGTTTTGATAAACGTGTTCAGTCTCCTCATCTGACCTGGGTTTTTCCATCGGCTTTCTATGAAACTATGAAGACTAACTAATAGTTCCTTTTCCATTCTGAAACAACTACACAGTGATACAGTCATAGTCAGAACCACAGCACTCAAACCAAGATTTTATATTGTCCCAAAACTCCATAACCCACAAAATTCCATAACTCTATGTAGCCTCCATTACTGACTGTACACCATCAATTCAGTTCAAGTATTTCATAAGGTCTCAGTGAGGATAATGCTTTTTAGTGCTTCTGACTAGGGCTGCCACTAACGACTGTTTTTATTTCGATTAATCTATCGACTAATTTATCGGTTAATCAAATAATCTAAACGATTAATGATTAACAATTTTACTTAAGAATATTTTATTAAACCAAATGAAATCCAAATTTCTATAAAATCCGTTTTTAAAGCAAAAGTGACGTGCAACATAGAGTGCAAGTATCCATCTCATAGTCCAAATCACTGAAATCAAAGTTCACTTACATAAATGAACTATAGTGTCCTGCACCCACTAGTAAAAAAATATCAAAAATGATATCTGGTCTCTGAATAATTTTTGGTTTGACTGTATATCCTTCGGTTATTTTCACACTTAATTATGCACATTAAAATGTATTTTACAAGTTTTTGTTACTTTCACTGTTCATTTTTTTGCTCTATGGTACATCGATGCGAGCAAAATGAAGTCGAGGATTTTTAAAAATCGAATAGTCGAATAAAATCGACGAATAGCAACCAAAGCACTAATTTCTCTCAAATTAGGTTAAATGCCAGATTTTAGTTCATGTTTCTCTTCAGAACTTCAATATTTGTGCTAACCACAGTATAAATATTGAGAGCATGTCTCTATAAAGCAACAATATGTGATAAATTGTTAAAGTTGTTGTAACAAAACAGATCAAATTCAAACAGTTCAACAATTCTGCTAGGGCTGCACGATAAATCGAAATCGCGATTAGACAGAAGCTACGATTGGCATGCGTATCTTTCAGTGAAGCACGGTTCTGTGATCAGCAGTAAATCTCCATCCGAGGGCCAGAGGGCGCTCTCACGCTGAAACTCCAAATACACCTCGCAGAAGAAACCCAGGAAATGCCTATAGCGGTTGCTGAATAAACAGGTTTAACTGTTTTTATTGATTCAACGTGACTAATAAACACACGATTATGACAATATATGGTTTATCCGAGTTCTTATTATTATAATTTTCCTTAAAATAAAGTATATTTATAATGCAATGCCTTTATCACGGCTTAGAATACTATGAAATATGTTGCGTGCCTTATTCTGTTTAAGAAGTCACATCATCTCACAGAAGGATTTGATTCAAACACTCGACTGACGTTATGAAGTGAGTTTGGAGTAAAAACATGTTATTAAATGTGGTATTTTTACATGCTTTCATATGGAACAGCATTTACTACACAGAGCCGTAGTTCACTGAGAAGCTACACAAACAGTTTTCATTATCGCGAACGATTTCTTAGATTTCATAATCACGCAATAATATCGTCTACGATATTATTACGCGATTTTTTTGCGTAACTTGTCAGTGAACTAGGCTCTGTGTAGTAAATGCTGCTCCTTCTGAAAGCACGTGATGGAGATTTACTGCTGATTACAGAACCGGCTTTACTGACAAAATGCGCATGACAATCGCATTCGATTAATCGTGCAGCCCTACATTCTGCTATCATTCATGCGCTCTCATGCCATTCCAAACCTGTAAGACTTTCTTTCTTCTGTGGATAGATTTTCTTTGGACGATATTTTGAGTAATGTTGGTAACCAAACAATTTTGATTACCGCTGACTTCCATTGTATAGACAAAACATTTTGATTTTTGGGTGATTTATCCCTTTAAGGTATGATATTCAAAGCATATCACTTGGCTTGCTTTCTAAGATGATATCGGTCTCCTAGAAGTTGTGTTGGACAAACAAGCTGTGTCAAAATTAAAAAAAAAAATTGAGACATATTTCCAAACAAAAGTCTCAAAAGAGGAAATTTATTTGTTTTCAAAAACCAGTGCAATATTCCATTAAAATTATATAAGAATTGTGAATTTTGATTTCATGGTGGCTCTAAATTCCCCTGGAGACCATTCTGTTTCAATCCAAAGATGCTGAGAAAACCACTCAGATCGCCTTGTCATAGCTCCTCCCCTTTCTGCAAGTAGGCACAGATTTCAGCCAATCAAATTGATACTAATCTAAGATCTGATAGGCTATTTATGGAGAATATTAATAATTACTGAAATTCTCCTTCTCAATAATATCTGATCTTGGTAAACGTCAGCAAAGATTAACTCGACCATGACAGATCAGATATGAAACCAAACACTTAGGTCAACAGTTTCATCATTGCTTACCCGGCCATCACAGACAAAACGCTGATGTGTCTCAAAACCTAGTGAGACACCTACTTGACAGCATTTTAGGCAGCACAGGACGTTCAATTGCCCACAAACGCTGTCTAGATAGACAGCTCGCTAGGTTTTGTGACACATTCAGTCTGTAATGAGTAAGAACACAACTGACATGGAAAGCAAGCCTGCATGGTGGCTTATAGTGGAAATTACTATAGGCGCTTGACAGTGCAAACACACGCCTACTCTCTATCAGCGGGAAACTGATGCATGGCCACGATTACAGTAAATTACGCTGAATAATGCCCCTTCGTTTGAATATACCACTATATATATCAGATCATACAGCGCAGGTACTCTCTCAGTTTCGCAAATGCTGCTGTCCTTCAGGGTGAGTTAGATAAACATTCACCTTTTGTAGTCTATGAAACTGTTCCTCATCAACGATTGCCATAAGTATTGATATATATATATATATATATATATATATATATATGTGTGTGTGTATGAAGAGTTCCAATGCAAAAGCCTCTAAAAGCCATCTTGGTCAAAAATGAGATAATACTGAGTGAATGCTTTCCACACATAGTACATGTTCATCAAGTACTTTCACTTCAAATGCACTAAATCCCAGCCTCAACCCATTCAGAAGCACCACTACTTACATAGAAACCTATGCATAGTAGCCAGAAATAAGTTAATTTTAAAGAAAAACGACAGACGTACTTCTAGGCTTTTGCATCTGAACTCTTCATATGTAGATTTTACTGCTTTAGCTCAATTTAAACAATTATTCTAAAGTATTCCGTATAAACAAGGCAGACTGGCGAAAGTCCACTTTTTTCTTGTGGTTAAAATGGAGCTCTGCAGTTTGTAAATGCTTCACTAATCCACAACAACCCGACCAGTTCACTCATTTCAGTTCAATTACAGATTAAGTAAAATAAATAAATGATAATATCGTAAAAATGGTATGTTGAAATGGTGGTTAAAGGAGCACAGAAGTAAAAACTCACCCATTTCTGAAGCTGCTGCAGAAGTCTACGAGAGTAAATCCATCCACTAGATTATGACAAGCACTTTACAATCCCTCAAACTCAAGCAAACAGCGTTTTTATCGCTTTAAAATGGCGCCAGTTGCAATCTCGGGTGAGATTTATTTTCAGAAAGGAAAAAAATGAAGAGCGGTCGATTTGCGATCGATCAGTGGAGTGCGTCTGCAGATTCAGACGAAATGTGGATTGAAGCAGGAATATGGTGCACAGTCACAGCGCTGCATTGCTTCCCTCTCAAATCATCAGACTCGGGGGTGGATCGAGCCTCTTCCCACTGCGGAGAAAACAAACCTGCTCTTACGATCCTTAATAATATCCAAAGTCCTGCGTTAGATGGCACACCGGAGACGAGCGGTCATGCAGGGCAAATATCCAGGGATATGCAGACGCTGGCGTTCCCGTTTCTGGACGTGTTTGATCGGACTTAAGCGAGTGTGATGTGACTCTTGCTGGACTCCCGCAGTAGTTTTTGATAATGATCGGTGTGTGCTCTGCTCTCAGCAAATGCTCGGACTGGCCCTGCCGATTGCTCTCCAGCGCCCTCTACCTGTAGCGCTCTACATAAATATAATTATTTATTTATTTGTTTGTTTGTTTGTTTGTTTGTTTGTTTGTTTGTTTGTTTGTTTGTTTGTATATCAATCACACGTTTATTTGTTAATTATTATTAACAAATAGCTGGTAGCTCGTTTGTTTGTTTTTTACTTTTTGTATTTTTGTTAGGCTGTTTGTTTGTAGCACAAAATATTTATTTATTTGTAGTGCAAAAATGTATTCATTATTTTGTCTGTTGGCTCAAAATATGTATATTTACTTATTTAGTTTTAGCTGTTTGCCTGTAGCCCAAAATACTGCGCTATGTGTATATTGATTTATTTTTCTTTTTGAGTGTACTGTAAAAAAAAATGTATAACTGTTTATTTTTTTATTTTTGTTAGTCTGTTTGCTTGTAGCGCAAAATAATGATTTATTTGTAGTGCAAAAATGTATTCATTATTTTGTCTGTTGGCTCAAAATATGTATATTTACTTATTTAGTTTTAGCTGTTTGCCTGTAGCTCAAAATATTGCGCTATGTGTATATTGATTTATTTTTCTTTTTGAGTGTACTGTAAAAAATATGTATAACTGTTTATTTTTTATTTTTGTTAGTCTGTTTGCTTGTAGTGCAAAATATTTATTTATTTGTAGTGCAAAAATGTATTGTTTTGTCTTATTTATTTTTATATGTTTACATGTAATGCAAAACATTTGTTCATTTGTTTGTTTTATCTGTTTTCTTGTAGTGCAAAAATACTTTAGTATTTATTATTGTTTATTTGTTATTTGTTTTGTATTATTATTTATTTATTATTTGTAGTTTAATTATTTATTTTTCTGTTTGCTTGTAGTTCAAATGTATATTTATTCATTTATTTTGTCCATAAAATGTCTGGGTTTTTTAAATGTACATTTTTCAGTATACAGTCAGTATTTTTTATCTATCCTATCACATAAACCTGCATTTGTCATTGACATGTTCATTGTTGGTTTCATTATGCAAATAATTTATTGAATTTCAATATCCATCCATTTAGCACATTATAACTTACTTATCTTTATAATCAGTCAGCAAAATCATTATATATCATGCCAGCCAAACTGTTATGGATAAAGCAACTCACATACACCCTATTTAATTAATCTCTCTCACAGTGACTATCAAACTGGCAGACTGATATTCTTTTTATTTGGGATGGTTTGAGTCAAACAGCTTGTTAACGGACATAAAAATGTAAATAGTAGCAAGTACTCAGACTATATTTGATTTAAAGAAAGCATAGCACATTATTCACCTCGTTTGGCCTTTAGACAGGATGGGTGTTTATATCTGAGCTGTGTATTGATTGAGAAAGAATGTAATGACACTCTAAGACCTCTTCAATATAGAGGTCAGCATCTGCTCCCTTGACGGCCAATCAATGTCTCGACTGTGTTAGTAAATAGTTCTCATTGGGCAACCTTGAAAATCAATGACGCTGCCGATTATTCAAAAAGGGTCAATGATTTTTCTAGTGGGAAAAAAGTTGCCATGGATACCACATGTAAAGAGTTTAGAGGTTTGTGGGATGTGCATGGACTACTGACTTTAATAACAGATAATGGAAATTATATTGTTACCTAGATATTTATATGCCTGTCTGAGGCCTGGAACATAAAGAGTATATAATATAAAGACAGCAAGTAAGAGCAAATGTTGAGCTACATTTCTCAGATCTGTGAAGAAGCCGATAGGTGAGAGGTTTTGATGTACTGTTTGTTTCTCACACTAATATGTGGTTTTAGTGTAAGTTCTACCACAGCACTTGAGCAGACATGTTACATGCAGAGTCTCAAAAAGCAAAAGCTGTCGGTTTCAGAATTCATTGCCATGATTGTGGCTTTACATTACTGAAATGTTGAAATATAACCTAACCAGATATTTGAAAGACCTAAAGTCTTTATAAGATTGTGAGCAAGTTGTGACCAGCTTTTTTATACTTTTGTTTATCCTTTTTACGAGTTTCATCATTCTAAGTATATTTCTTGGACAGCTTTAGCGTAAACCAGGTCACAAAATTTCATTTAGAAGAGACTTGTTAACTATGTTTCACTGACTACATTTGAATTGCAAAAATACCTAGTCAATATCAGCTCATGACAAAACGTCTTAAAAACCTTTTAAAGGTTTCATTTACAGTTTCACAATTATCTCGCTCACCTGTTCTTCAGAATGACTGTTCAGACTAAGGATGATGATTCTCGTTCTCCTATTTACTCAACATCATTGTAGTTTGACTAGCAAATCTAGAAGTTGTGAAATGAAAAATCATACGCTGCGCAGAGAAGACGATTACTGAAACATGACACTGTGTTGACACTGGACACTTGACCTATCAGATCTTTCTGTCAAACAAAACCGTAAAAAAGAAATTGAAGAAGTAAATGAAGAAGTCTTTAGAGCATGATTAAAGACTACAGAAGAAGACTTTTAGTGCTGTAACCCTATAGCAAAACATACAAGCAAAAAATAGTGAAATAGTAAAGTTAAATGAATAAATAAGAGGAGTATCAAATTGAAATAGATTTAATTAAAGGAAAACTCACTTAAAACCGAAGAAATACAACTTTAAACTGTATCAAAAACTAAGCCCAATTAATAAAATCCAAGATTTAGCTTAAGCCCAAATGTAGCATATGTTTAGAAATGAAAATCCAAATGCAGTTTAAGCCCAAGATCCTCCTCAGTATTTTGTTCATTCCTGCTATCAATAAATGTGTGTACATTTAAATGCATGTGTGCAAAAACTTATTTGATTCCAATTTTTTTGTTTTGTTTTGTTACAGATATTTTGCTTTATATTCAGAGCACTGACTAAATCAAACAAAAGTGCTGCATCTCTCATTTCAAATGAGGCCAGTCTGATACAACTGATACGAAATGAGTCACTGATGTTTCTCAAGCAAAGTACTGACTAAATATTTAAAAAACATTACTACTTAACACTATAAGATTTACTTCTCACCAATCAAAAAGTCACTTATTCACTATATTGGATGCTGTTTTCATTATAAACCTGCCAGAAATAATTCTGTAATTTAAGGACATTGGGTTTAGCAGCAGTTAAGAAAATGTATCTGATGGGGTTAGTGCGCAAAACCACAAATGTGTTTATCAAAGTCAGAGGAAGTGGGCGTCTTCATAAGAACAGAGCTTGTGCTAACCACTTCCTGTTGAGATGGGAAACTTCTAATGGTGATAGAAGGCGTACAGTAAACAAGTCAAACAAAAAGGTATCTAAGGGGGATTATGTTTTTGAAGAACAACTGTGTAATAATCACACCATATCACAGTCTGTCTACTGAGACACACTAGTAAGATACCAAAAAAAAAGTGTGGTCCATATGATTGTGTCAATAAAAGAATAACAGTGCAGTGACATGCTGGTTGAATATTCATTTTGAACTAAAATCTAAGTCTGTCAAATGTGACAGTGTTGAGTCTTTGTCTTAATTTTGAAGACAGAATACTTTAATACATTTACAAAAATGCAAGAGCATATCCTCAGTAGCATCCCCTGTAATTGTTTCTGATTTATAAACTAGCCTTTATTCGAAAATACACTGAGAATTAGCAGAAATTGTTTATGATGTGTAAATTGTCCCCTTTCTATAGATACATTGTGAGAAATAATAATGCAGACAAAGGGGAAACATGACTTTATTTGACTCGATATTCGCGATATTCGACTTTATTTGACTCGATATATATGATTCGATATATATGACTCGATATGTTTTAAACTGGATACCAATTTGTTAGTAGGTCTATTTAGTAACTTGAGCTGTTTATTAAAATGCATGTAGTGCAAAGGAAAGGACTGCTCGAGCTTTTTTTCTTTTTTCTTTTTGCATTGACAACAGCGCCCTCTGCAGGAATCAATTGATATATTTATCTATTAATGTAATTATGGCACGACATCTATTTGTGATTACATGATGAAAGCAACTGTTTAAAATGAACCATGAAGTCAAGCAAGAAAATTTGATTTATAATTAAAGATTTGCTTATGAAACAACTCGTCAGTGATTATAATAAGTGAGGCTTACTAAATTTCCAAGGGAGCTGCAAAATGCCTTCAATTATTTAAAATAAACTACAATATATACATTTAATTAAAATGCTAAATCTTCTGAAAATGTGCAGTGTGATATTTCTTAAATATTTTAGAAATTTTGCATGCGTACCTCTGAGCTTTCACAGATATTTTTCACTGCAGCTCACAACCTCAGTAACTGGCACGACCCTAAATTCCTTGTCCGTTTATCACCATTCTTTAATATTAGTCACAAAACTGCATTATTAAAAAAGCTAAAATCTCATTTATTTGTTTGTTGATTAAAAAAAAAAAAAACTAAATGATCAAGTTATTAAAATCGATAAAAAACAATGCTGCATTATTAAATAATTTTAAATAATATTAGATTATTAAAATATGATGAACGAACCGTGCAGCATCAATTCCCATGCAATTTAATACTATGCAACTTTTCACTTTTGGGACTTTTATTTGACCCGGAAGTATAAAGTGCTCTTTAATACAGAAGGAAGTGTGACTTCACAAAGAACAGTTTTACGGTTGATATCATGGCATTAGATGTGAAGTCCAGAGCGAAGCGCTACGAAAAGCTGGACTTTCTTGGTGAAGGACAGGTAAACGACATAACTTTGCTATTTCTGAGCTGTTGTTCAATTTGTAGTGTATAGCTGCAGCAGCTCTTGCAGGTGTATGATAATCGTTAATTTTATCAATGTATATTGCCATTAATGCATTGTACAATTATTTTGCAGTTTGCAACTGTGTACAAGGCAAGAGACAAAGCCACACACACTATTGTTGCTATCAAAAAGGTAAGACACTTCAGTTAATACTTATTAAAAACCATCACTTTTGATCAAATTCTCTTGTTTTAGTATTTTGCATTGGGTAGTAGAATAT